GCGAGGACCAACAGAGAGCGGATGGTTGCACCAAGACGACTTGCCGATCTTTGCACATTTGCCCAAAATTTATTTATGGCCTTTGCAGAGATAAGAAATGCGAATTCGGCCACGATCTCCAGACGACGCACAATCACTCCATAATCAAAGAATATATTCAAGGAAAATACAATCGGAAAGGTGTGAGGAATTTGCTGAAACGAGGCGCTGTAGTTCCGGATTTGTGTGAGGCATTCAATCTGAGAGATGGATGTGATCGGAAGGATTGCCTAAAAATGCATTTGTGTGTGGAATATATAATGGGAATATCTCATAATCCTGATAAATGCACTCTTAACCACGACGTGCTGGAAGAACAATGCATGAAATTGCTGGAAAAAGCATGCATCAACACGCAGAAAACCAGAAAAGAGTTAAGAATATATATTAAGAGGAAGTGCACCAACCTAGAAGACATCATGATCTGGAAGAAACAAGAAACCAAGAAATTACAGCAAGGAACAGAGGATGGTTGGGAATGGGGATCACGCAAACATAGCTCAACGTGGGAAACAGAGACACAATCAACTAAGTCTAAAGGTACGCTGCAAAGCCATCGGACCTGGATTCCACAATCCGATCTCACAACGAATTCAGAAAGATATCCGGTGAGCATGTCCTCGCTCCGACACTCAGGTGTTCGTAAAGTTTTCTTAATGGAGAAAACGTTATTCGTAAGCGATGAAAACGTTTTGCATTTTAACTGAAACTTCATTATGATGCACAATTGTACACAAATTAGGAATTGCATGAAAATGCGTTAAGAAATGCCTTAAACTTAACCGAAATGAAGTACTCCTGTGCTTTTTCTTGGTCAGAATAATTTTCAGAGTTCACTTCATGTAACATACATGTAATAGTGTTGGGATCCATGGCGATTTCATAATGAAGCCCATTTCAAACAACATTTCGCCATTTCACGATTTCGCCGGCAATTGCAATGCAATTCAAGTTTTATCCATAAGGAAAGACGACCCTCAACATGTGCATCGCTCCAAAATGAATAGTACAAAATTAGCCGTCCTAGTGAAGGACAACGATATAACACTGTTTGGTCCGTGCCCGAGATATGCCCTAGAAGTCCCATACATCTTTATATGTGCAGCTTCACAAAGAAATGTTCATAGTTCGTGTTGTCCCTGACAGAGCATCATTTGATGACATCACTGGAAAGGTGAAAGCAGGCACTGTTCAAGTCTAACAGCAGATTTTGTTCAAGTCTCTCAGTATGGAGACAAAAGGAATTTTTGAATTGCGGCGAGCCTTGTGGACAAGTAAGATGGCGCCAACTAAAATAAAAGTATTGTGACGTTGAATTTGCGAAGCCGCTACACCGCATTTGACCCTGGAATGTGATCGCAAAACCAATAATGATAAGGTAGTGTAATTAAGGCAAAGTAGTCAGCCTAATTATCTTGAACCAGTAGACAGTTTTTCTTATTGCAAGCGTTTGCACTTAGCGTATGCAAAATTTCAAATTATCATGCATCCAGTTGCAGTGTTAACCGTGATCTTAGAATAAGAATGTGTGACTATCAAATAGTGAAGCTTGGCGGTATAACTAAAATGAGCAAATATCAGAATTAGAACCAAAAAAAACTCATGTCCTTCGCTATCAGCACATTTTTTATATTGATCACATTTACCACAAGTAGCTTAGCTACGCGCAGGGGCACTTTCAGGCCCTGTGGAACATATTGTGAAAAGGGATCCCCAGATACGTTCACTTAATAGAATGCTTTTATTGATGTCCTTTTCAAGATGGGATAACACGTAGACTCACTGTATCAATAGATGTGGTAGCGCCAACTACCTTTCTTCAATCTCTTCCCAAAGCAAACTTCAACGCCCTGGCATTCCTCTTTGAGAGCAACAAAAGGAACGGAATTTGGCATTTTTCTTTCTCCCTCACCGCCAAATCGCTCCAGCAAATTTAAAGCTCAAGCTCCCCGAGGTAGTGAAGAACACTGAATCTAATTTTTGGAGAATGTGAATTTCATTCTGTTTTTTTTTTTTCTCTCCTCCCCTTTGGATAGCTACTGCCGGGCGGTTTTCGGAGGAAAGAGACCAACCCTAGGAAAAATACTACTTGTTGATGGCGAAAAATGGCTTTTTCGCTGTTTGTGATGCTCCATTTTGCCATGAAAATGAAATTAGCTGTAGTTTAATTGGGATTGAAGTGCTTGCTCCGGTACCACCCCCCCCCTGGGGATACCGTGCTGAAATTATGCCAGATTCAAGACTGTTTCGACCATCATATTGCCATCTGGATCGTCTGTTTTTTAATATATTACTCATTTTTGTGCTGAGTTCATGAATTGAGCTGAGAATGAAGCTTTTTCCAACTAGTAGGTAGCCCGTGCAAAAGCGCGGAAGTATTTAAAGGTCATGAATGCACACATGGCCATGGGAGGCAGTCTCCACACCCCCCCCCCTAACCCGTGGCTGGCCATGTGAGAAGACAGGACGCGGCAAAAGCACTCCTAATTTCTCGGTCTGCCCCTGCTCTTCGTTAATCGTCACTGCAAAGGACGGGGAACCGACGTCGATCGAAGACGAAGTAATCAAAGATGAAGGCGTTACCTCAAATCCTCGCCTCGTAGGACAATGTGGTATGTGGGCTTTTATTGGCGGCGTCACGCTACTCACATTGCAACCAGCCGCGCACGTTTCCTAACATTAATGGCCTCAAGCCACGCTGCGTGTACCTGTTACTATGGCTGTGGGAGGGCCAATGAGCTAAAAAATAACTAGAGATGGTACACCCACAGGAACAGTATAGGCATGCGCGCTGCAATTGAAATCCAGACTGGGGCTCATGGTCCCTAGTCACCATTCACTCCTATTGTATTTCCAGGATCTTTCAACTCAACTAATTCTTTTAAATACTAGTACTAACTTAGGAAAACAGCTCCGACACAGCAGGCACAATAGGTTCTCAGAGGAACCAGTAAACCCTATCGAGTCGAGGAATTAGAGAGACAAGATGGTTACGACGCCGTCGAAGTCGTCTTTCCGATTTATGAGTAAGCGCTCCTGTGCCATACACTCTTAAAAAATTTCGAGCGTTTGGGGAATAAAAAAGTGAGCACATCGTGAGCTTTTCGATTTACTCTCTCATTACTCACCAAATGCTCCCTCACCGCTTGTATTGAAGTTAACACAGTTCAGTTCTTCGCTAGGCCACTAGATGGAGGTAAGGGTCTCGATTTTCGCACAGTACACAAAAGTTCCCTTCCCTCTTTCCCTGAAATCGTCCCTTGCAGGATTGTTTAGTACCTTGCTATATGTCTTGTCTGGTCTCATTATAGGAATCATTAAACACGGACACTTCATCATTTGCTATCCACATATTCAAGACATATTCATAGAGTCCATGCCATAAATAAGCTCATATTTCTATTGAGAACCCTTTGGATTCTCCCCCTTCGGAGAGAATTGATGGCAAACCTCGCCGGTGTGAAATCTCCGCCCGATATGGGCGGAGATTTCATACCGGCGAGGAAGTCATCCTTCATCCAGAGAGAAAAGAAGACTCCAAGTGTAATATGCCGGACCTTTCACACGTCCCTAAGGAAAAGTCCGTATTGGACCCCAAGAAGTTGAAATCGGGAAGCGTGTATAGAATGCCTCTCTCTCCCGTTGCTGTTAGGGATGGCATGGAGTCGATAAACTGAAAGTCTTGGGTTCGGTGGTGTAGTGGTAGCACACTCAACCGGCCATCTCTAGGACCTGGATTCGATTCTCGCCCACTCCATCATTTTCTTTTCGTCCTCTTATGTCAACAGAACTCATCCCCCGGACTATTACGTTCTCCAGAATAGATCCGACAATCGCAACGGCCAGGAAAAAAATGCAAGCCCAAGAGAGGGAGACATACGCCCAGAGGCATGCAAAAGACTATGGGGACAGCACACACGATCGTGCTAAGCGCACGCGTTTGTCATGTGTGGCCGCGCATGCCCCGAACCACCGACCACGACCACTACCACGGACCAGAGTAGATTTTACTAGAGGCCTGCGGCCGCTACGCCGGCTATGTAATAGGTGGAAATTTGAATCGTCTATTGTGAGCATAACGTCTCCTTGACAATCCTCTGTACATTGCATTACCCATTCGGAACGTAACCGCTTCATAACGTTTGCACACAGATAGCTTACAGTACACATGGAGATTCTGTTCCTAAACACCAGCACTATATTCGAGCTGATTAGCACAATTGCTATTGCGAACGCCTCGGTATAGTACGTTTTGGTGATTTCGTCTTCCTAGCACATTCAATACTCTTGAAATCGGGCTCTTTAAGTTAATTTATAAGATGGCCTGTTGTCTAGAATGGCAGAGCCTTGTAGGCCTCACGCTTTTGGCTGTGGATGGCCTAACCTACGGCCAAAAAATGCATTGGCAATAGTGTGCGTCCAAATTCGAGAAAATCCAAATTCGAGAATCAATCTACGATTGATCCTTGTTTGTGTCAATATTCTAGCTAACCCGGAAGTACATCCTTGACTTTTTATGGTGATAGATGTCCTCGTGTTCTTTTCTGGGTTCATCGTCTTGATGTTCTTCAGTGGAAATTTCACGTATGTTGCTAATCCATGCTTTGGATGGTGGCGACTGGGGACAAGCAGAAATCGGGGAATTTTGAAGCTAGATGCTCTTTCATCGCTGGTGGTGTTGGTTTCTTGCAACAGAAGTACTTCTATCTTGTGGGTTTCAAGAATCCTTCCCAAGGAATCGCACTTGGTCCTTGATAGACCCTCCACGTTGAAATGGCACAGTCTTAGGGATCGGTCTATCAGCGCGGTAGGTTTGGCCCTGATAAGGACCTTTAGGTACGCAGCTGATGTGGCATTGATAGCATTTCTTCAGAGAAAATGTAAAATGCTTCTATAGAAGCCATTTTATGTCCTGAATAAGTGAGCGAAATTCAAGGACATGAGGAACTTGGTGGTTGAAAATGCTCCTAGTTATTAGTTCCCTTGCGGAATACTTGTGTACTTCTATCGTCATTCATTTCCTAACGGTCCTGAAATGACTACATTATTGCTCAGTGTCTTTGTAACTGTATACATAAAAAATCTGTCTTGCTCTACATCACGTATAAGAAAGCAAAATGAATAACGTCACAATAGACCCATTTTTCGATTAAAGAAAATGCATATTGATGTAGATGTTCAATTTCCTATCAAGTAATGCAGGAAGCTGGAGGAAGAGATCTGGCTCAGAAAATGAAGGAAGCCTGGGAGTCGGAAGATGGATATATATACCAACTCCGGCCGAAAAGAACGACAGGTGATTTTCAATGCCGAGTGCAAAAGCAGGAGATCGGCAACAAAAGACCTGAGGACGGAGAAGGGAAGGTACTCATGCTCGTTGGAGCCACTGGAGCAGGTGAATTCAATTCCACTTCGTTTTCAGACTTTTTTATTAGTGAGGGGACAATGAGATTTAACCAGCCCATTTTGCTTTAAGGAAAGAGTACCCTCGTCAATGGGATCGTGAATTACGCATACAGAGTTCAGTATGGCGACGATTTCCGTCTAAAATTGATCAACGAAGTAGAAAATGAAGGGACAAAGGCTGACAGTCAAACCGAGTGGATTACAGCTTACCAAATAGTCAAACAGCAAGGAATTGCTTTTCCCTACACGTTGACTGTTATTGATACGCCAGGGTTTGGAGGTACTCAGGGAATTAAAAAGGATCATGAGTTGAAGGATCAGATCCAGGAATTCTTCTCACACGGCGGACACTTTGGTGTGGACCAACTTCACGGGATCGGTCTTGTGGTCCCAGCTTCCGAAGAGAGACTCACACCCTCACTAAAATATGTACTTGACAGCATAATGTCTGTGTTTGGAAATGATGTGAAGAACAACATCTTCCTGCTAGTCACATTTGCTGGCATGGAGAAGCCACTAGTACGGACCGCCGTCAGGGCAGCAAATATTCCTTTCAGAAAAATGTTCCAGTTTAATAACTCTGCTCTATTCAGTCAAGATAAAGACAACCCATTTAATCAAGCATTTTGGGACATGGGTACCCAAAACTTTCAAGAGTTCTTCTTGGAGTTCCAACATACGTCACCCGTGAGCCTGACACTGACAAAGGAAGTTTTGCAAAGGCGACGCCTCGTAGAGGAAACACTACAGGACACCAAGTCAAAACTGGATGCAGGTAACATATGAGCCGAAAATTCAGATTTCATTTGTCTATTGTGACACTTTTTTCTAGGGTTTAAATCCAGGCGTTTCTTATTCAGCCCTGGATCGATTGGAACTTCTAAGGGAAGCTCATGCAGCTGTGAGGCAGCACGGAGGAAAGCTGTTTCTACGATATGCAAAGTTTTTGCCGGGACTGAACCATGCAGATCTCACGAGTTCTTCCCATGATGAACATGTTCTGAAGAAGCTGACTAAAGATTTCAACCAGGAGAGAGAAACTATTTTTCAGTTAACGGAAAAAGCGCATGAATGCAAGCGGAGACTTAATGACATCGCCATGAAGCCTGATCATTTCGAAATCGCGGAATACATCAATATGCTGATCGATGCTGAAGAGTTTGATAACCGACCTGGCAGTACGCAGAGGATCAAATATCTTAAAGAGGCAAGAGAAAAAGCAGAATTTGCCAAGCAGGTCATGCAGAATTTCAACCCATCTAAACCATATGTGGAGCTTTCTATTTCTGATTTTGACCCAGTCGATCCTACAGCATCTGAATCCAAGATTCCCCCTGAAAAATACATTGACAAGTTCAAGGCATTATTTGTGGACCGCAATTAAACAATTAGGCTATCAACAAACTCCATTGCCTCTTTTCATTCCATTTACATCTCTCACTACTGACATTGACCTTATTTCATGAACCCAAATATTATACTGAATATCTTCTAAAGCAAGAAAGAATATGGAGTTACAGTTCTTGGTCAAATATCTAACTTTCCTTCCATGATGTTTGAAAATGAGGAAGAGAAATGAGCCAAAGACGGGTGGTTCCATTTCAAATCAGGTAGGCCCATAGTATTCGTGTCAGGGCATAGTCTCCGATTTGAAAAAATAATAATAAATGTAGTCCTCTCATGCAAGTGATGAAATATGGTAGCTAATTTCCCTCTGCAGCAAAGGTTTTGGAGTAAAAATTCATTAGTGGAAGGCTCTAAAAAGAGGGACCTGCCAAGTCGCTGTTTTCCTTCACTTTCGACCCGCTGTATCTCCTAAACTAATACACATGAATTTCTGAAAATATTGTTTCACTTGAAATTACGTACTGTGTACATATATGGAAATAAGACTAGTTAATATTTTATAAATATGCATTATTCAAATTTCAAAATCAGCGAAATAGCGGAATTTGTTTTTTACAAATATTTCATCATTTGTGTATCCAATATTGAATTAAGTCTATTTTCATGAATTGCATCCACTCATGTATCTCCTGGTGTAATTTGTCATTTATATCATTAGGAACTTATTTGGTGTTGATAATTTTAAAAAATTATTTTCCCAATGAGGGATGAACAATTGCATTTTCAAAAAACGTAAATAATTTCCCCCCTTTTTACACATTGAAAATAAAAGGCTCTGGTTACTACATCGTATAAAAATGTGTTCCTCCTTTTATCTAATGACATAATTATTGCTTTTTCAAGATACATATTTTCCGACTATGTTAGAAGAGGCAATGGTCGCACAATCATTATTAATTTTTAGAACTCATTTATGAACATACTAAATAATAATGTTATGTGGTGATGAATTAATATGTGTTGTTCCCATCCTGTACAGATGTAGTAATCAATTGTGTAGCATGTGTCAAATTATGTCATGGTTTTCATATGATAATGATTATATTCATATTCGGCCTTGTTACCCAAATTATATGGTAATATACAGTATATTCGACCATTTGTAGCAGTAATATTTGTACCTGAACTGTACTGATATTGAAAGATTAGAAAATGCATATTTATAAAATGATAACCAGCTTCTTTCCATTAATATATGTGCTCTAGGTAATTTCCAGGAAGCAATGCATTTTCAGAAATCTATGTACGTTAGTTTAAAAGACACCGCAAATTATAAATGGGAGAAAACAGCAACTTGGTAAGTACCCTTTCTTAGAACCCTCCAGTTAATATTTTTCATTCCAAAGCTATTGCAGATCCAGATGTACATAAGCCACCATAATTCATCACTTGGATGGGAGGACTACATACATTTAAATTTAAAAAATTCAGGACTATGACCTGACAGGTCCTGCCTGATTTGAAATTGAACTACCCAGTTGTTTATAAGTCAGCATAAACAGCCACAATTGCGCCAAAATTAATATGATTTTTAGAGATTTCATTTCTCTCTTTAAATATAAAAAGTATTTTAAGGTAACCGAAAACTTAAAAGGGAAAACGGCAACACATGGAGGAGTAGAGTTTTCCTGTGAAAGATCTCTGCTCCTTCAGCATGCTGAGGTAGAAAGCCTGTACCAGGCAGTTTCAGAATCCAAATGCGTCAGTCATATAGTAGACGATTGATATTGGTTTCGTTAGAGGACATCCAGCGGACTTAATCGTGTATTGTCCATTGATGAATATAATAAATACTAGTGAATTTCTTTGCCCTTCGGTCAAGCAGATTTACTTTGGTCCCACCTTCGGCGCTTCATTGTCCAATGTAGCTAGGGTGGAGGCAGTAGGTTTGTGGACAGGCGCCTATTTCTGGACAGTTTTGCGTTTTTTGCCATTTCACAAAATTCACGCAAAAATTTATTTCCTGAAAAGCTCCATATTTTGCACATGCCTGTCAACCACCATATAAATTATGCATAGCCATCAGCATGAGTTAACTTGGACATTTTCGCTTAGTTTAAGACGTAGCACCCCAGAATTCCTTAATTTTTCCAATGATATTTCTGAACATCTTCAATGTTCAGAACATCATTGAAGATGAATAAAATTATGTGAATACTGTATCATGCACTTATTTTTCAATTCAGCCTTTACACGTTCATAATTGCTGATAAAAACTGCTGTCCACAAACTAGGTCCGTGGATGTCCACGTATGAAATCAGACTGTCCGCAAATTGGAAACCTGTGAAAATCAAGACATATCTATTTAAACAGCAATTGCTGATAAATAATATTTTTTAAATTTCATTTTTGTATATAGGCATAAAGCTATGATAAATGGCCTCCCATTGAGAGCTATCAAGCAATCTCTCGGTGACCCCCGATTATCCCAATGATCGTAATGCAATCTTAGTGGGGAAACCTTAACATGTCCACAAACTGGTGCCATTATCATTCATTTATTTATATTCAATGCGGCCGAAACGTAGTAAAAGTATGTGCCTTTTGAAGTGTATATCGAAAGAGAACGAATTGATATATTCATCGAAATAACTACTCATCTGGTTTATTGCGTGCCAAACTTCAAATGTCATCTTAATCTACCATGCGGGATCATATTTGAAAAGTAGGATCTGCCCTGAACAATTGAAAAGGTTCTTCTGAGCTTGTTTTCAAATTTCTTTAGTTCCCTCATTCATTGGATCAGAAAGGATCCTGTCAAATGCGCCTTTTGCAAAAAATGTGCCCTCAGGGGTTTTACATAAAAAGTAATATTTTACTGAAATTAGTACTCGGAGAACCATATACCAAGTTTCAGCCTCATCCGTTTGCTCTCTTTTCTGGTGGAAAAATGTATTTGGAAATGCCGACAAAGCCAAAAGCTGTGCCCTGAGGGCATCCACCTCAAAACTTGAAAATTTTATGAACCTCATCACCTCAGTTATTGGTTTGCCAAGTCTCACCTTCCTATTTTTGCCCAATCTGGTAGGACAAAGAAAAATTATTCGAAAACGTTTTCGGCTTCCGAAACTTGAAAATTTTCCTGAATTCAGAGGGTCAGTAGGCACGTCCATGTCAGGTTTCAGTTTTCCATGTTCATCAGTTTGACTAAAGCAAAAAAGAATAATTTAATTCATCTCATCTTAAAATTTGCCCCAAGGGCATATAACGCCAAAGTCTGAATTTTTTCAAAACTCCGCATCCCAATTGATACTTATCCATTAAGTTTTACATATCTCTGACCAATTCAGTCAGACAATAATTTCTTTTTCTAAAGGCCACCCCCCAAGAAATATGCCCCCAATATATGTATTTGAAACTTGCCATTTTTTAAAACTCAGGCTCAGGAGGCACATCCATGTCAAGTTTCAGCTTTCCATGTTTATTTGTTCTACTGCAGAAGACAAAATTGGAAGCATTTCTACCTAAAATGCATGCCCCCAGGGCAATTTCCTCCAGAGTCTGAATATTTGTGAATTCATGTTCCCAATAGGTACTCATGTATCAAGTTTCACCTTTCTATATCTGCCCAGTTCAGTAGCAAGAAATTTTTTCTTTAAATGTCACCCCTCAAAAAATATGCCTCCAGTGCATGCATCTGAAATTGACATTTTTATGAACTGAGTGTCTCAGTAGCTTCAAAGTTTCAGCTTTCTGTCACTCCGTTTGACGGGAGCAAATACAAGGCGTTCCAAAATTAACTTCCCAAAAGTAATCGTGTGTCATTCAAGCATCATTCAACAAAAATTTTCATACATACGGATTTTGACAATTTTAGTGCGGAAAGTTTCATTATTTTCAGTTCGAGCTGAATTGATTTCTTAGTAGTTCATTGAAAATGTACCTTTTTCGAGATCGCTGTTTGTAAGCCTGCAGGCGAAGCCCGTTTGAATCATGTTTCTCGTGAATTCTGAGAAAGTTAAAGTAGCGTGAATGACAAAAAATTAAAGTCATCTGTCCAACGCCTTTCTAACAACAGGAGGCGGTAGAACCTTGGATTGAGGAGCGCTTTGCCGGGCGAACTACGATTTTTCGTGGCGGAGCAAGGAATGGAAGCCGATTTGTGAGAACCATCCCGGTTTCGTTTCTGAAAAAGGATTGTTTTCGCGTATCGCAGTCGCATTCGTGAATGGAAAGACAAAGTCAGTGAAAGGATATCATTTGGGAGACGGATGCAAGCAGTAAAAAATGTGATTCGCGGATCGCGACTGTGCGGTGTTGGATCTTCCCTGTCTTCGTTTTCGTCTTAGCCGATTTGCGCTGATACCCATCGATGCTTCCACGACTGAGATTCGCCCAAATTTCGCCCATTTCCGGTGCCTTCCGTTTCGCGTCCGTGCGGCAACTCCAGAAAGGTGTATAACAGAGTGTAGCTGAAAACACGTTCGCTAGGGTTTGAAATAATGCTACTTTCAAATCACAAACATGTGTAGAACTGGGATATACAAACGTCAGTTTTATTTGCGTAGTAGTCAGCCTTAAAAATAAATTTGACACGTGGCATTGGTGCGCTTAATGTTGCATTATTTCGTTCATGAGAATTTACTGAATTATTTTTTCTACTAATATGATCTTGTGTCGAGGGCAATCCTAGGTCAAATGAGACCGGTAGGCTTTTTCGTAGAGATCGTGGTGATTCCTTGCGGTACAACAGAGGGCTTCGTTTCCTCCGGTTTGCAGCAGTTTTACTCGAGAATCCAGATTTTAAAGGTATTCTTCACTTTGGTCTGTGAGATATGAAATTCAAAGTTTTCGATTTTCAGGCACATGCGATCCCTCGAACGCATTTCATAACTGAAACAACATCAGATGAAAACGCATGTTTCGCTGAGATGCAATTATATCTGAAATACTAAAATGCAATTCACGTCAGAAACATAATGTTTGCTAAATTAAACCAGAATTACATGTGCAGAGCGTTTCAAAAAGTGACTTCCGCTGATCAAACTTCAGGAAGCCGTTAGACACAACGTCGTGAACTTTGGTGTGTAGACCAATTTGATCATTTTCAAGAAAACGTAGTCCTGTGGCGGTTTATTGTGCGATCATGGTCACACAAGATCAGCGGTTTCCCGACTTCTTTCAATCGCGACTCACATGCTGACGTAGGGAATTTCGCAACCTACCGGAATCAAGAGCGAGGAATTTTCAAAGTAATTATGACGTGAGGGAAACTGATCGACCTGTTCCGCAGAACCTGTTTTTATCCTGAGCGGACAGAATTAATTTCTTATATTAGGAAAACGTACGCGACACACCTCGACGCGTCTCGTGACTCACAGCTTGGGAACCGCTGCACTAGACGGTACCAATAGTCCACACACGGCATACGTTTTTACATTAGCTGTTCGATGTGTGTTTCTTTTGTGACAGTTATAATAATCTGCAATCGTGATCACACATTCCCAACTACTGCTTGAATCATATCAGGAGTATGGAACGGACTTCCTGCTGTATGTTCTGCTTCAACTCGCTGCATGTGGTGAGGCTCTTGCGGTAATCCACTGGCGTTAGCTCGGGCGATCTTGCAGGCCAGGATGGTTCAATTGACTGATGACACGTTCTCAAGTGTCCCGCGAACTTTTTCACATTTTGTGGGGGAGCATCATTTTGCGTGCAATTTATTTTATGCACCACACAGCGTTCATGAAGAAAAGGAATTACTTTTGGTCTTCCGTAAATCATGGTATCGAGTCCCTGTGTGTGTCACGATTTGATCTCCGGAGGGCGTTCCTTCTTCAAATAAATATGGCTCCAGGATAAAACTGGCTTTTTGAAGCCACACCACACTGTGACTTTAGCGTCATGGAGCTATAAAGGGAATAAATGGAAGAGGCGCTTTAGCGTCTATTCCCTTTATTCAATCCTTCCCGTCATAAAACTCAACCTTCTCGTATCCTCCCTCCGAAATCATCTAGAGCAGGGGACGGGAACCTTTTTGGCCATGTGAGCCATATTAAGATTGGGCTTAGTAATCTCGAGACAATGATTTTCAAAACACATATTTTTACTTGAAGTTGGCCACAGACCTGAGCATTCTTTGATACAAAAGAGAAATGAGGAAAAACCTCGATTTTTAGCCACGACTCATGAGCCAAACTTTTCGGCTCGTGAGCCAAATTTGGTTCATGAGCCATAAGCTCTCGACCTCTGATCTAGAGGAAAAAAATTGATCATGCTGCTTCTCTCAACGCAAGAGCGCTTCAACAAATTGGAAACCTAATTTCTCCGGGGCTAGAGCACTCCATCTCTCTTTTCGAAGATGTCAATTTCAGACCAGTCTTTCTTTCAGCACCCATTCGTTGCGTAGCCTCTCCTGGGATGTTTTTGAAAAAAGTATTACAATAAAAAAAATTTGATCTGTATGCCACGAAAAGTGCCCCCTCTATTGTTTGCGATAGATCAGTTCGCCATAATAAATGAATTAACTCTCGTTTTGAAGGGACTGGCAGCATTTTCCTTGGGATTGGCGTGTTGGAACCTCTTCTAAGCGCCGCTTTCATAGGCTTATCATCCACTGACAGAATCTAAAGCTACTTGGATGGCAATATTGCGACCAGTTTCACTTGCGATATCATTTGATGCATGTTCGTTCCATCATGTTAAAGTTCTTTTCAGAAAGGGGCTGATCCCGACCTGGATAGATAGATACAACGGTTGAAGTAGTCTTGAATCTAGCATGATTTCGGCACGACAACCGGCAACACTGGGAGACGGGATCGGAGCCAGCACTCTAAGCTTAAATGAACGAAAACTATTTTAACGTTTTATACCGAAATGGAGCATTGCAAACAACAAAAAAGGGACTTTTCATCATCTACGAGTCAATATCTTTCTCATAGTCTCCTTCCTCCGAAATGCTCCCAGGAGTGGCGACCCAGGGGGGTGAAAAAAAACGGAATGACATTCACATCTTCAAAAGCGAGATTCAGTGATTTCCACAACCCCGAGCGGATGGAGTTTCACTTTTTCTGGACCGATTCTGTTTAGAGAGAGGATGAAATACGTCCACTTTCGTTCCTGTTGATGCTTTCACCAAGGAATACGAGGAGGTAGAATTTTGTGGTGGGAAGTGGTTCATGAAAGGTAATAGTCGCTACCGCGCCTATTGATTAGATAAACATAAATATGCTGCCTGGGTGACTGCTATTTGAAAAGTTATGGCAAATGAAATAAGGGTATTGAGGTGTTGACTTCTTAACAACCCAGTTTTTTGAAAAATTCCAGAAATTTGCAGTACATTATTACATAAAAGTCGAGCATCGCCATCCAGTTTGGATTTGGGTACGCCTGGAAGGCATACGCCTCACTACCTCCCATCATCACTTCCGACGATTTGTGCCGCATTTGTCCCTGGTCTCTGGTCCAATAGTCACTCGTTTCCAGCTCAGTATGCATGATAATCCCTTATTATTCACTTGATTCATTGGTTTACCATTTAGTGCATGTAAGGACTGGGACATCATGTCCTGACTCCAAGCTTGATTATTTAGAAATGTAACTATCAGGTTCAGATGGATGATCATGTGAAACGAGTTATCTCAATTATGGCATAGTTTTCAAGAGAAGGGAATTGCCACTTTTTTGTTAGAAAAAGGTTCACATGCAGAGATTCCTTTATTTTTCTAAATATAGAAACTAGTACGAAGACATTCACAGTTGACAATTACATAGTGGTACATTTCATGAGTTCACTGGTACAGCGGTATCTAATAGAGTTGAAAAAATAGCTGCCATTAAAGTGCTCAGCGATAGGGCTACAAGTTTTCAAGGAAAGAAAAATACATGCTGGAAGATTTTACAAGGATGACTCGTCGCGACATTTTGCTTTCCTGAGGCAGGAAGGTTCTCTATGCTTTAGGGCTTCAAAAATATAAATATTCGAAGGAAGCCTAATAAAAAACTCACTGGATACGGAAAATCAGTGAAATGTCCGAAATGAGAAATGCGATTCGTTTGAATTTTGGGATCCATTTCACCAAGAATGTAAATGTCTAAGAGAAAAAGCAGCAACTCCATCCCTTTAAAAACGAAATCAGTTCAGACAGTTCCGAGACCTCACATTCAACTGGATAGTACGCATTAAATGAAGTTATCCTGTGAAGTAGATTTGTCATGATAAACTTCGTGCAATGATTGTAGAAAACTAACAGGAGGCAATATTCCAGAAACATTCCGATTGAAAAATTTGCTCAATTTTCTTACACGCCACAATGTCTCAGGGGACAGACATGAACTGCCATCTGTTTGCATCCAAGAGGCTGACATAGTTACAAAGATGAGAAATGAGTTAGAGAGACAATCTAGAACGAAGAAAAGGATGTAAGCCTTGTCCAGGCTGTATTTGAACGCACTTGATAAATAGACGCAGTGCTTACATCCCTCGCTCCAGAACTTTCTCCCAGGTTCTGCAACAGGATGTAATAGGAAGAGAAATGTGTTATCGGCAGCGTTACAGGGAAGGGATTGAGATGGGATGGAGGCACGAGAAGAAAAGGATCCACCACATTTTTCCTATTGCACCATCAGCCACCAAATAACTCTTTTAATCATTTTGTTTTAATTTTCCCTGTTATTTATGTCAACTGAAGCTGCTCGATCAACTCTATTATACTTGTTTGTATGCTTTCCCTTTGTTTTAAGGCATAATAGTAGAGGAAGAAATGATAACGATCGTTCTGCGAAAGTCCAGAGATTGGTATAAGCGATGCGATGAGCCTTTTTATTAAATGCATAGCCCAATCAGAGGCCGATTCAACTAGGCAATTAAAAGAAACAATATACTTTCAATACAACAATGGGATAGAAAATTCAGACCTCTTCTTAAAGATCAACCACTGAAGGAAATATATTTCAGATGAAATTAAGATAAATAATCTCGCAAAAGAGGATAGAGAAAGCAAAAATTCTTTCCTTACTTGAGTTAAGGAGTTCCCTTCGCCAGATGCGTGTCCAGTGCGTCAAGCATGGTGGTTGTGTGCCGAAACCATCGCACTGCAACACTCCCCTGGAAGGAGATTCTTTTGAGGGAAGGGGGGACTCGCGTTTCTTCATGCACCGGGGGCAACTTTTCCACGACCATCCACACATCATCCTTTCCGTTTTCACTCCGTTTATCTAGAAAAATATGGACGGGAATAAGGAGATTCTTTTGAGGGAAGGGGGGACTCGCGTTTCTCCATGCACCGGGGGCAACTTTTCCACGACCATCCACACATCATCCTTTCCGTTTTCACTCCGTTTATCTAGAAAAATATGGACGGGAAGAGAGAGTGAGGGATGATGGAAGTCAGAGCGGAACCTCCCACACTTCTCTTGAATCTCTTTCACTTCACGTCAAGTCACACAAGTTCTTGCAAGTGTAGGAGATAAAACTATCTAGATTAACAGCCTGTATGGCACAGCATTGAGGAAAGTCACTAGTGACTTGCCGGAATTCAAGTTCAAGTAATAACCTGAAAATTTCCTTAATGCGCTTCTGCATTTGTGAATCACATCTGCTCACCATAAAGAACGCTGGGAATATCTCATGGACGTCTAAGTCCTCGTTATGGGTAAACCGGCTATGAGGGAGAATGTGGTTAATTATCCTGAGGCGAACCCTTTTTCGGGGTGTCATTTACGATTAAATTTATTCTTTCCGGCATGTCTGGTAGATGTGGGAATATAGACCATGACAAATGTTTGTTCCAATTTAGAGCCGGATAGTAGGAAAGAGAATGAGAGAGTAGAAAAATATTTTCTTTTTTATGGATATACACGTCAAGGCACAATTACCAGGTGGGACGGTTTTTCTTGTAGCGATTTTTTCGCACTACCAAAACTGGCAAACAGGAAATGGAAATTCTATAAATTTGTGGGTATTGCGGAAGCGATTTAATAAGCATTTCGTGTTAATTATATTCACAGTCTCAGTATACAGTTTTGACGGGATTACTATTTGCATAAATATATTTACTCAAAACAAAATGTAGAAACTTTGAAAGCAGAAAATTGGTACGTCAGTATATGTTGAGATGCATTTTTTGGAAAAATGCTAATTTGCGGATTATTTCCCAATGGGAGATTGCCGCCGAGGTTTGGAAGACGCATATTAGGAAATATTTTTGGAGAGAGATTTCCATTGAAAATGCAAAAAAATAAATTTCCGGAATTCCGGAAACAATTCTTTGATGGAAGCTTATCTAAAAACAAAATCTCGTCTTGGAGGTGCGATGGTGGGTCACATATACAGTCGAACTCGGTTTTAACGTCATCGAAGGAATCAGGGAGAAATCGTCGTTATAACCGAGATTGCCTTCATTGACTTTCCGTTTTCCTGTTTACAAAATGGATAATGTTGCAACTCCAATGTATTCAATAAATTGGCCATGTCCCACTAGCATCAATGTCAGGATTGACTCCGTATTCTTGATGTTTGCACTTCCTTGGACCTTGAACTACTTCATACTCGTACTTTACCAAGGCCTCGTCGACGTCATCTCGGCATACCTGCGAAATTCTTGTTTTGTGACATGTTCTCGTAAGTACGGATGAAACTGTCACGATTTTTCCCAAGTTGTGGACACAAATTAACAATTGTCTACGTTCGCGAGCGACGTTGACCCGCTTCGACCGCTTTCTATTAAACTAATCATGCTCACTTTCCTTTCAATCGTGAAGTCTTGCCTATTTCGATTTCCACTGGCCATGTTGTCAACGGGAAATACAAATGGCGACAGAAGATGAAATTATATTATGCTCCCTCACCCTCCTCCAGTCACAGCCATATGACTTTCAAGGAATGCCGATTCCAGGGAAGATAAAGTTATGACTCGCTAACGCTCATTTTTCCGATGATGGAAATTCCAGTGAAGAATAACGAGTTAGGGACAACAACGTTGTCGATTTCTTCAGTGGAACCTTGAATGGACTTCGTTGTAACCGAGGTAAAATGTAACGTGCCTTATGCCTACCTATGTTGAGTAGGGTTGTAAAATTACCGGTAAGGAAGTGGGTATTTCCGGTAATTTGCAAGTAATTTACCGGTAATTACTGATATTTTCCCAGTGTATTACCACTCGGTTTCCGGGTGCTCCACTAGTGCCAATTAGCCCTAGAACAAATTATTTCATTTTCAAGTCTCGAAATCCTCTTATTGAACCATATCAAGCCAAAGCAACATCTCACTTGATAAATCTTACGAGAGAGACAAGCTATGGCAGAAAACTCGAATGATGTGGATACAGAAAGTACTGGTAGATATTTTATATTTTTGGCATACTAAGGTCCAAAAAAAGGCCAGGTCTGGATAGAAGCAATACATAGATGGCAGGTTAACCGGAATCACCTTTAATCCTCTTTATCATAACCTTAAAATAATCTAGGGTTATTCTACCTCACATCAGCCAGAGGCCGGGCGGTGACCCCCTCCAATATTGAATACGTTTTTTCATGTTACAGCCTCATGGTCCAAAGTAAGTGTGCAAACGTTAACCTTTGGGTGTAGAGCCGTTCTTGGCACAATTGACCACATAATTTTGGCCCCCACCATTATTGCCAATTCGTCAAGTTTTGCAAAATTAAAAAGTTGCATCTCTTGATGCTCATGTAGGATGTAAACTTATGTACCAAAACGAATGCAGCAAATGCCATTGTTCTTAAAATGGTTGGATGGCTTTCGAAGTTATATCATGTACTCTTTTCCTTGAAACGGTAATGAATAATTGAATAAAGATATTTGTGAATTTGTGGCACATTCAGAAATTTCCGTTTTACTATATAAATATATGAAAATATATTTATTTATTTTAATATATAAATATAAAAAAAAGAAATAAATGCAACATGCAGCAAACCAATTAAAATAGCCCTGACCCCAGTCAGACTGGGGTTAGAGCTATTTTGTGAAGGCGCAGTCCTTGTCGGCACAAGCGCGACTCTATTCCTCTTCTACTTTTCTTTTTTGTTTTTACAAGGTTGAATCGAAAAGTAAATACTTTTTTTTAAAATTCAAAGTTCTATTCACGATTAAATGCTTTTCAGAGTAGGTGCTACCATAAAGAGAGGGGACGATATTGAAAAATGAAAAAGTAATTGACACTAGATCGATACAGGTGATGAGAGAAAATCATTTGCCATTACTTGTAGGTCCACCGTCCCATTTTCCTTCATTCAAGAAGTAGATCATGAGTGATCTCATAAAATACTCCAGTGGCTCTGCTAAATAATGCACGTTTCCTACTCTCGATACAAAAAACACGAGTTAAATAGGGCGAAAGCACGATCTGCGGTGTCATAGCCGCCAATATATTTATTGCGTATTGGAACAATAAACACAACTCGTATAACTCGGGTTGGAAAATTTATTTACAGCTCATCTCTCAATATAGCATGAACGACATGGAGATTGACTCCAGTGGTCTTGATACCTTTCTGACTGTCCTCAATTCTGTCCTAGGCCTACTATTTTAGGCAAGAAAATGAATGAAATATGGATAGTGTGAATATTTCTTGCGGAAAAACTGCTACAAATAATGAGGTGATTCATTAGTAATTTACCGGTAATGCTACCGGTAAGTAAGGCTGTGGTAAATACCGGTAACGTTGCGGTAATGTTTCCACCACTCACAACCCTAACCCCGGGACCTGACGTTTTTCATAGTTATAACCGAGGTATTGTTATAACCGAATTCGACCGTAACATGTACTTTTGTTGATGGAAGGCCGAGTAATGCATGTAAATTGATAAATACGGGGGATAATTTGACTCCATATTGTTGTCAACCAATTGCGTGTTCCGTGCTTTAATACATGAGCTGAAAATTAAGATGGTGGCAAGAGAAATAATAAAGAAGACGAATCAGCGAATCACTGTAAAATTTCTGACCAACGGGAACATAATTTTGTAAAAATCTAGTCAAAATGAGATTCTCATGTTGCTTTATGCTCGAGTTTTTGATCCAAGTGGCTGGTCTTCCAATATGTGGTTCATTATATACGCTTTCACACCAATCCTTAAATTATTTGTACTCGTCAAATACGAATCCTTGACTGGTAATCGCCAGACTGTAAGCAATTGTCTACAAATTCCAATCGGTTCGATGTTTTCGTTAATCAGAAATATTGTAATGATTCCCTGTCCTACTTATTTCATCACTCACCGACATCATGATATTTAGCACACGTATTAAAGCAGGAAACACGAAATTTTTGGTAGGGGTATGACCCTATGACGTCAAAATTCTCCTCAAAATTATTCATCTACATGCATTGTTCTGCTCTTTTAAAAACAAAATTACAGGTCATATTTGAACGAAACTGTTTCATCCCTTCTGGGCTGTTCCACAGGGAAGAAGCAATGGAGGAAGAGAAGGAAACAAATGCTACCCCTTAGATGTGGGATAACAGCATTGAATCGGATGACCCCTGGTGTGGCGGGAACAAAGAGCAGTATTCCTCCTTTCCACACCTCCTCCGTCTCTGCGTCGACTTCTGGTCTTCGTTTTGCAAACAATGTCTTGATGGAAAATTTATTAGGTAGTACTTCCATTCGTTTCCGACTGGTTCGAGGAAGGAAAGTTCCTGAAGAAAATATCGAATTTGTTAAAGTCACCATCACCATTCCCTACTTCCATTGCAGTTTGCAGAAAAATATTAAGTTCCAAAAAAACACCTAAAGAAAAAAGAATTTGAAGTTAACTTCAAGGAAAGCCGCCAAAAGATTGTCCCTCGAAATCGGGCGTGATCACCATAACGTGACAAAAAATACGAGTTTTTCATAGACGTTCCCTATCGTAAGCATTTTTTCGTCATGAGAATGAACCTCAGTGATTCTGCAGGGCATGTCATCCTAAGGCAGAGGACACTGAGGAGGAAACCAGGATGAACCTGAGCTTGATCGATGAAATGAATGAATGTTTTTTTATATTCATGATTGGTTGTAACCTAGAATAATCGAAAAAACGATAATCACTGAATTTGAGGAGTGACGGTTAATGTGCAATCCTGTACCATATTAGCTTTCTTAGCAAGATAAAACTTTACTTTTAGCTTATTCATGAGAAAGAGGAATATTGCTTGCACCTCTTACTCTTCCATGAATTGATGTATTTGTATTGCTTCTTTTGATTCCTTTAAGCTCATGAAGGCTCAGTATTTAAGATTTGCACTCCAGAGTTATGAATGGGAAAAAGTGACTGGAAGACAATGCAAGTTATGTAGATATTCATGAAGGACATTGGTAATTTCACTGTTAGTTAATGAAGCATACAGGCCATGAATAAGACTGGCCGAGTTTTAACCGCCCTTATTGCACTCACAAATTGTGCATTTTTTGAGAAATCGGAAACTCGTGAACCTTTCTATTCGACAGATGGTAGCACCCACGTGTAGCACTCACTTGAAGAAAAGCCATCCTCCCCTATGAGCACAATAGCTCTTTGAAGGAGGTCAGACGCAGATTGAAGAAGTGGATATAAGTTCCCATGCTCCTCCATCCCCAATCTCTTCTGCAATTGGTTCAGATACATAATCTTCAAGTGGAACACTTTAAATGGCACAAGTCAGCTGAAAATGGGCTTGCAACAGTCTCCAAGATTTGTTCCCGAATGATCCTTCACTCCCCTCTTATCGCTGTTTCGTCTAACAGGAAACCCCAATAACAGGAAAATATCCATTCATCAATTCTGTTTTTGGATTGCTTCAATGCATTTACTTGAACCTTTTCCGAAGTTGTTAAGGTTGGAAATTTGAGGGACACAAAAGTCGAGAATATTTATGCATAATTAGCTTCTTTGGAGTTTAGTTTAGGAAAAAATGATTATTTGGGGTTCAGTACCTTCGGCGGTCTTTGAGGGGCGACTGCCCAGAATTTATTTCCTGACTGGATAGGTGCTGCGTCTAAGAAAAAATCGATAAGGAAGAATTCCCCAATTTGATATTTAGGGGACAGTCTATGTCGGCATGAGGGAGGGGGTGGAAGGTTTCCCTTCCATAACACGCCCTCCACAAATAAAAGTTCACATTTGTTGTAGCTTCCTTGAGATTGGCTGTAGCCCAGTTCCTCTTTCTTGACGTATCGTCTCTGGTGAAACTTAATTTGCAGTTGACTTCGCCTTATGTAATTACTGCGATTGTTGCGGAACGCGCTGTTGCGGAACACCCAGTGTTCCGTAAGCTGAAAGTCAAATGAAATAATAATCAAAATCTTTCATGAATCCATTGGCATTGTTTCAAAAACTTCCCAATTTACTAAGAAGTATTTGAGGTACAGAAGATATTGATTTGCTTTACTGAATGGAAGTTGGGCGTGACGTCACATAATCTGAAGTAGCATGTCGCTATTATTATATTAACCATCGATTTTTGTCAATCACTAAGGTGGGTGGCCTGAAGGAACGTATTTAGAGCATACATATATGGCTAGAAATTCGTCGGTTTACTTATATCATCAAAGCCAAAAGTATTGTGAGTGTGTTCGCTCAAGTCACTAGTCACGCTATGTTGTATATCCTGAGGAAGGGAGTGTGCCATTGACGCGGATTATAATCATGTCCTAAGTATGAGAGAAACCTGAAACTTTTTCTGCAACAGGTTTTTGGATCCCAAGTTCAGAAAAATTCCTACTTTGGAGCTTCATGCCGGGGGCAGGAACCCCTGATCTGATGAACACTGGAGATCCTGCACATTCGTGGTTTTGGGAGGAAAGGGGAGGGACTTTGAGGGACTTTGAGGAGTTGAGGGACTTTCCGAAAACACCTTTTGAACACATACAGGGTGATCGTAAAGTCAGGAAACCCAAACAATTACACGTTCTGTCCATACTATACAAGATGTGCCCATCCTCCCATCCTACATCCAAGTAGAGCATTCGACATGTTCGAGAAGTGTTTCAGGAAGGGGTAATCTTGGGTTTCCTGACTTTACGATCACCCTGTATGTTCCTTCCATTGTGACATGAACTGTATTCGATTAAGGCAAGAATTTCTCCAGGGTTGGTCCAAGGGAAAGTAAGAATCACCTTACCTTTAATCTCGCTAACTCTAATCTGGCAGCGATGTCACATTTTACGACGTATTCTCGTGGTTGTCCGAGAAATGCATTAAATCCATGTAGTTCATCATTTCAGAATTCACGAACGCCGTGGGCGTGCATTTCAGATGGTTTAAATCGATTTCTTTACATTGTGTATCATTGAAGGCACTACTTTTGCGAGCTTTTTTGCTTGAATCCAAAGAAACTTGTGGGCAACAAATCTCTTAAATTTTTAACGCTGTCAAATCAATAGCAACCTCGTCCAGACCTGCAAGACGGGAAAATGAAGAAGTGATCCTGTGAGGTAGAAGGACAGGCACTCTAACACTCCTTCCAGGCCTTGCATGATATTCGGGAGTAGCCCGTCATCGAACCACTCCACTCCCATCCTGTCCAGGATGATCCGGATTCTGTCAGCTTCCGAAGACTCCACCAAAAACTTGCTCATGCGTAATTTATCAACATCTACAACTAAGGGATAGGAGAGAATGTGAGGGATTAAGGTTAGAAGAATGGTGAAGGAAAGCGATCATTCTTCATCACACTCTTAGAAATTCCCACTCTCAGAAATTCCCGGCAAATATCTAGTACACCATCCCAATGGCATTACATGAATGCATAAATGATTAACTTATTGTTTTACTACTGATACAGACAAAGTCTGGGCAAACCGGTGTTAATCATACGAGGGGTGGCTGAAAAAATTATAGGCCCAAGTAGGAAGGAGTTGGATTTGGACATTCATAGTTTAGACATTTTCTACATAGTCCTCCATATGTCGTCTCATTTCGTCCAGCGAAGCACCAAGTTCAGGCAGCCTTTCCGATAGAAGGATGTTTCCTCAGAGATGCACCAATCGGTGACAGCAGCGATGACATCGTCGTCCGTCGCAAACCTCTTTCCTTTAAGATACATTTTCAGTTAGGGGAAGAGATGGTTCTCGGAGGGCGCCAAATCAGGTGAATAGTGCCCCCAACCCCTATTCACCTGATCTTGTCTGGTTGTACAAGATCAGGTGAATTTCGAAGCCACACTTCTCCTATGCTTGCTTTGCGATGCTAGGGGATTGTGGGGTTGGGCCGTCTTGAATCATGATGACGCCCAGTTCCAACTTTCTTGACCTCTTCTCGGTTACAGCCTCGCGAACTTTGTGAAGAAGGTTTGCGTAGTATTCGCCATTGATGATCTGTTCCTTAGCCAGGTAATCAATGAGAAGCCCGACCTCTGCATCCCAGAAGACAGACGCCATCACTTTTCCGGCAGACGCCTGTACCTTTAACTTCGTCCACATGTTTCCATTGGCGTGACTGTCCCTTCGTCTCCGGATCAAAATGATTTACCCACGTCTCATCTTGGGTAACGAGTCGAAAAAGGAAATAATCTTTATTGGCTAGAAATCGTTCCCAGATGCTGCTGTGACAAGGTCCCTCTCAGGCCTTTCTGGTCATCACTGGGGTTTCGGGGTATCCATCGGGCAGTCGCCTTCCTCATTTTCGGTTCACAATGGATGACGTGCTCCACACGCTTTCTTTGATATTTCAAGGCATTGTGCGATCACCCATGTGGCTATCCGACGATTGCTCATAGTGATTTCGTGCACAGCTGAAATATTTTACCCCGTTGTGGCTGAGACGGAAAGTCCACCGCGGGGATCGTCTTCCAAGCTCTCTCTTCCGCGTCTTAAATCTCCAATC